CCGTTCCGTTCTTTTCCGTTCCGAAAAGCTGAACGCTCAGGAGTTGTGTTCACACGGGAACGCTTCAAACGACATCGTTCCGTTCCAAAAAGTGGAACGATAAAATAAGTGATACGAAAAGTGGAACGGTACGCAATCGTTCCGTTCCGTTCCCGTGTGAACGCGCAGAACTGGTCCAGAAAATGGAACGATAAGAGTTTTGCCCTTGACGCATGCGTCTGTGTTGTTGTTGAGGGAAGGCAAAGGTGACAATGATAAACTCAGCGAAGAAAATGGAGGATTTCAAAAACACCATTGGTTGGATCTCGCCGTTTGTCCATTTAAACGATTCAACACCATTCTGCAAACATTGAAATTCCTTCCTTTTAGGGTTGGCTTCAATTTTCCCACGAGCTTGCTTATTTTGGGGCGCCTTTGTATTCTCCATTTATTCAAATTGTTTAAAAATTCAGAGATAGGTCAGAGATAAATCGAAATGATGAAATCTATCTCCATTATGGACATGCGCATTAAAAATCATTCGCTTATTTTGACGCGCAAATTGCAGAACGGAACGATTGCGTTCCCGTCTGAACATGAACAAAAATCGATACGCAATCGTTCCGCTACCGTGTGAACAGTATACCTTTTCGTTCCAGAAACTGGAACAAAAATGGAACGGAACGATTGCGTTCCTGTGTGAACGGGGCCTTATTCATAAGTTTGTTCAGGGTGGTCCAATATTTTTTGATACCATTAATAGCATCGAACAGCTTTCACCGAGCTTTAGATAATAATTTTCTTTGGCATCATTTTTTATGTTTCATTACTAACTTCCCTCACTTTGATCCAGTCCTCTTGCTTTCTTCCACGCTGCAAAATTTTTTTGCAAACCCTATCTTTTCGCCTTATTTCTGTTTTAACTTCCACCGTCACCTAAGGGGCATGCTTCTCATTGCATTTTATAACTTTGTTTGGTATTTTAGTAGACAGTATGCAAAAAATTCGTTGTGGTGAAAACTTTGGTCATTTCATTTGAACCAAGAATCATAAGCCGATAAACCCAATCAATCCCATTAATTGTATCCCTAATTGACTGGATGTCAGCTTTGCGTAGTCCCACACAGTTCTCTTATAGAGTGATGGGGCAGGGATAGACAAGTTCAATTTCCATAGACAAGCTGGTGTTGGCAATGATCTTTCAGAGAAGGATGAACCTCAGACTCAACAAAGAGATTAGGTTGGTCAGTTATGATGAGATCAATACAAGACATGCTCTCTCCACGTATGTTTGTGGCCTCATTTATTAATTGGTACAAGTTATTTGTCTCTATGAACTCAACTAGAGCAATTCCATCAGGATTTTCATCATCACTCTACCACCACTGAGGTGATCTACAGTTATAATCAATACAGTTGGTTTCTCCTGCCTAAGACGAGTTAAAGTCATCTGCAATTTATCCATGAAAACATAGAATTGTTCACTTTTTTAACTAAGGCTGCGGTAAACAGTAACTATGAATATCTTCTGTCTGCCAATTTTTTTATCAGCAACTATTATTTCCTCTAATATTTCAAGATCCTTTTTACGTATAATTGACAGACCCTCTCGAAAGTACATGCAGATATCCCAGATTTTGGAATCACTTGGATGATCATTGCGAAACATCTCCTTGCTGAAACCTTCTATGGAGATCTCCTCATCTCACACTTTATTATCCAGCATTGATTCACACACTGCAATAACGTCGTATTAATAAAGAGATTTGTAGGCCTCAATGAGTGGAATGTTTATACCATTTCTTGCGCACATGCTGTTTAAGTTCAAATAAATGAATCACACACAGTTTTCAGTTTGTGAACCAGGATCCAATTCAATATCTCCAGAGAGAAGTAAAAGTAACTCTTTATGGATCATGTGAAATGAATCAATTACTGAACCTATAAACAAAGCGTACATCAAGTGAGGAAAAATGGTACAATTTGTTTTTATGGAACAATTAGATTTCAATAGCGGCATAATTCTTGTGTCAAAGATATGTAATAACAGGTAAATGGCGAAATACGTAGTCGAAAGTAATAGCAAAATTGGTTACTTTCACATAAATATGACATATTCCCAAGATACCCAGTCCTATGGAAAAAAAACGAGAAACAATATTTAGCAATGAATCGATCATGAGCGACAGCGGCATAGCTAGCACTGATAGCCAAATAAGCAGGTGCAACTAGGCAAAGGAACAAAACACTGTTATAAGAATCTCTTAAAAGGTACGAACTTAGGTGCCACTGGGACAAATCATGGGACATGTCGTTAAGAGTTTATTTGTGGCTACTATGTCGTTAAGAGTTTCACAAAAGGAAAAGGTCAAAATTTTAACAACAGGGAATATGTCAAATCTCTCTGATAAATGTACCTCTAATAAAAGAAAACAATAAAGACTAAAAAGTTAAATAGATTGAAGTAATTACAAGAGAGTTATAATAAGTTATATAAAGGGGGGGGGGCTGGAGCAAAACCACTCAGATGACTAGATTTTGTAGTTGTTATGATTTCCAGCCCATTTTATACCTTCACAATCACTTCTTTGCCCTACGCACTCACGCGCATACGCACACACGCAGAATTATTCTAATTGGCACCATCACTATTTTCATCATCATCACGATGGTCTTGCTGATCTTCAGTAACCCTACTAGCATCATTTCTGGTAACACTTCGAGTAACACTTCTTTCTTCATATTCTCTAATGATAGTTCGCAGATCCTCTTCACTATTTATGTAATTAAACTCCTTGGCGATCTTCGCGCATAAACAGCAGTTAACATCTACTAATGCAAAACAGAGCTTCTTCCTTGTAAGTAAATCGCTTATCTTTCTTATTGTGTCAATCTTATTCTTTGTCAAATTCAATTTTATAAATTGCCTCCATAGACCCATCTTATAGCTTATTGTCTACAATAGTCTATAAATTAGTCTACAATGCCCTTCGCTTCAACCTGTTTAAACTAACGTCTGCACTACATCGCATCCCAACTCAATTGCACTATCTTTGAATTGGGGTACTCATCCCATGTCTACAGAACATGATTGTCAAAGCATTTTCTGTATTACTTTAGGCATAAAAACAATTCATACCAGGATGTACGTTAAAAGAGGAGGACTAAAAAGACCGGCCATTAAATGATATATGTTTATAAGTTTATTAAAAGACTTAAAATATTGTCCATATTGTTATTACCTTATCAAAAGATGTGTCAGAAATTTTATCACATTGCTGCTCTCTATTAATGTTGAGTTTGAGCAAATTTAAAAAAGTTTATAATTCGGCACCAAAAAACTCGATTCTCCAAATTTGAATTCTGAACATCACGCAGTGACAGAATACAATAAACGAACATTGTACTCTGTATGTAAAAAATCTCTTCTGATTAGTTATAAAAAAATATCATCAAGAAGTTGGTAAAGGGTTTTTATTGTACGAGAAAAACACGAATAAATCCAGACTATTCTACACATTTTGATATGAGTGTAGTATCTTGAAAACTTCACCTGGGCAATCTTAAAAACATCAAGCCTTGTTCAATCCCTCCTTCTTGATGATTAATCTAGTGATTTGGCCTACGATTCAAGATTTGGCCATTGGCTAACTAGTTTTAACAAGTTTTAATAAACTTTTAACATTGTCCCTCTAGTTCTAACTTATAACAAATTTATCTTTTTACTCTTATGAACTAAAAGCCGGTTCCTTTGAATAACCCTTGTATGTAACCCCTTAATTTCATTGTATATGCAATAGGTAGCTTATTCATTTCCACTGTCTCTCTGCAAAATTTTGAAATCTTTGTCTTCTTTGACTAAAGTTCTTTTCTATCAATTTGTGATAAATGTATGCTGGAAGTGGTCCAGTTATTCCAGCACAAATACCCCAATACCAGCAAACCATCCATTGATTGGCCACTGTTCGTAGATTCCTAGCAAAGTGGATAAAATTTAAGGTATTAATCTTTTTTAGGCATATTTCATGCACTTTCAGGCATTTTTTACAAGAAAACTGAGTATGATTATTTCTTGCCTTCGTTGCAAGAAAAGAAACAAGGCTCAACGTATCACTTATTTACTTTATCATTCCTACTGACAAAAAGAATATCGCGGGAGACTCTTCATCCTCTAAGATCTCATCGAGCCTAGGCTAATCTTCATCACTATTTTCGCTGTTCTCGCTTGTTCCTCGGTAGGGCAAGTACTCCACATGCTCCAAACACTTCCTCGTCGCTCGATCCCATTCCTGAAGAGCTGTCGAGAAAACTGCGAACTGAAATTTTATCTACTAACCGATTTCCTTCCCTCCGATTCACTTTACTACAATGTTGTTTTAATTTCCACGCTTGGGAATTGGGATCGGGACAGGTGTCCATGACTTTACGTCAGCGCCTGAAACTTGTTTCCAGACCTCTCCGCCACAGAAATAGAGAAATTTCACACTTAGCATGATAAATGCGGATAAACGAAACGAAAACCATAAAATTTCGTGTCTATAATCAAAATCAGCACGATGAAAACTACTTGTCAAATTGTTTTCATTTTTTACTTTATTTCCCCTTTAACATAAAAGTCCATATGCACACTTCCCAGTTGTAGCTCACAAGTTTTTGTGTAACCATGTCGAGTTAGATGAGCAAGAGATAAAAAGTTTTATTTGATTCTCGTCTTTGCTGATTAAACAACTAACTCGATAAACAATAAATCGAGATATTCATCATATTTCAACTTTTGTTTTAAATAATCCTTAAGTAGCTTTTATGATTAGAGCAGAAAATGTACCTTTCAAGCCTCAAACATTAGAAAGCCTAACCAGAGTCGGTGCTACTGAAATGTTGGTGCGTGTGATAGCCAACTTTCAATACAAAAAAATTTTACCTCTAAGAAATGTTTCTAGCATCAGCCCTGCGCCTATCTGTATTTCTGCAGCTGACTTTACCCGGATAGTATAAAACTAATAAATCAATGCATCTTTTAGGTAATACACAAGGAGGAAGATTCACACAGTCAAACCATGCTTGCGTGGTAGATAAACTTAAAAGTGATTTTGCCTATGAAGAGGACGTTGCAAAGGAACTGGTGAGACTAGCAAGTCAAGGGACTGGAGCTGTACCACCAACAGCTTTAGGAAGTCGAGTAAAAAAATTTTTTTATTATTATTTTGAGAAAAAGAAGTCAGATTAGTCTCAAATCTAAGTAGATCTTATCAGTTATTTTTGCCGTGACAGTTAACTTAAATGAACAAGTTATTTTTCTAGAACACACATTTTTGTATGCTAGAACACACATTTTTCATGCAAAAGATGGAACATACATTTGGTTGGAATATTTTGTTGAGATTTAATGCCCATTTAAAGATTGCAATTTTAAGAATTTTTTTGGTATAAAATAAACGTGTATACATCCTTGAGACAGCTTGCCACTTTCTCAGGAAGGCATTGATTTCTATTTTTGCTATTATTCTTTTGCCGAGCATTGTCATATGGATGTTGACAGTTTATCATCCTGTTTAATCCTATCAATTTCATTTAGAACTTCAACATTAGAAGTTAACCATTTTTCAAACAATATCCTCTTTCAATCATCCTCTTTTTTGCTGATATGAAACTGGGTCCCCAACTGCAAACCTCTCCAAGTTATATTGCCCAGTTGCATTAAACAAAAATGATGAACAATTTACTTCAAATACAATACTGCAAAATTGTACTATCCGGTTTTACTTCGCTGGCAGGTATCCACTCAAAAAGGCTATCCAAAACCTTTTCTGTGATTTACACATTCAAAAATGAGTTTGAATGGTGGACATCATACAACATAATGGTCAGAGAGTGCCCTGTATGTTAACAATTATTTAAGGAGACCCTTCCTTCTCTAAGTTTTGTAGTCCATGCATCCCCTCTATTAACTGCGGAGAGTGTTAGATAATAGACATTCCTTTCAGCCTCTAGATCATATACTGGCTTTATAAATTCTCTTTTTAATTGTTACCTTGTTCCTGTGTCTGATTCAATGAGGGTATTTGCTTTCCACTTCAATCTCTGCAGTTGAGCTCTCAATTTCTCTTAACAATTCCAATAGTAGCTTGGCAACACATCATGTCCTTGTTTCCATTCCAATTGTACTTATTGTTCCTTTTTTTAACCATCTCATCGTCTACATTTTTTTCTCTCTTAATCCTATCGTCTCTAAGTCCCATAACTCTTCGTTTCCGTACAATTCCTTCCTGTCCGTAAAAATATGAAAATTATATACTTGGCTGCAAGTTTCCTATTAAAAGAAAATGAGAGTACTCCACCTTCTTACATTATAAAAGATCATTTCCAATGCTAGAAATCTTATCATCTGGATACAACGTCTGGTTCATAAAATATTTAGGTATATTATCGGTTTCGTTTTGTCTAAAGGTACTAACATATCATTAGTTTTAATCTTAGCAAGTAAACCCGCACTTTGAGCCAACTTAGATCTTACAAAGGAACCTTCACTACCTAAATCAAATAGTACTCTGACTTTTACAGATTTTGTTTAACCGTTAAGCAATCCCTGTGCTGTGCTGTCTGCAAAAATATGATTTTCTCTACACCCACATGCAGCATAGGACTTATGCTGCTTTTAAATAGGCTGTCGCAGCAAACTTGTAACTACTTTAACATAAAACCCGTGTCAAATTAGCCAAGCTGAGCATTTTATAGCCTCTCTTGGTCAATGTTCTATTGCATAAGGACTTTTGACACATTTAACGCTTTAAAAAGATGCACTCGCATAAAGTAGTGCCTATTGGGAGGTTTGGAACTTCCTGTACCAATGTACAGATTAAGATAGACGGACTGTATAATAAATAACTGCGAGTTTTGCTCTTGTCAAAATTTTTTTTCTGTTAATATCTTCCTTCTTAAAATGTTTTGTTCCTTTGAACTATTTTGCTTTTCTTTGAATTACAAATATTTGTTTGCAAAACAGAGAGGAAATTTTTGACAAATTGTGGAATGGTCGATGATTGGGGGCCTTCTTTCCCCCAGCCACAAGGCCTCTAATGGTGCACAAAATATGCCAGAAATACAAAACCCTGCTGTGTGACTCTTAGGCATGCAAACAAAGAAACGGCCATACATACAAAAAAGATGTTTGCGCTCATTAATGTCTGACAACAGTTAATGTCTGTGACTCCCTTACAATACTGTGATGCATAGTTTGCTTTATAATATATACAAAATAGGGCAACAGTTTTTGTTGTCAACGCACTAGCAGTTTTCAGCCTAAATTCTTCCTTACTGGTCTTCACAGATTTCTACTCTACAACTTATTCTTCAACTTCCCCGCGATTCATGCCTTTGCAGAATTCAAAACATAATTTCTCAAAGAGAAAAATTTAACAAACTCTGCAACATCCAAATTATTTTGTACGGCACTATCAAACGAATCCCGAAATTCTTGGCACTGTTTGGGGTTTTCCTGAGAAAGCTAAATTTGGGTTACTTGGCCTGCCACTTGCTTATTGAGAATTTTACCAATTGAGTCCTAAGGTAAACAAAATTAATTTTCTCTAGACAATTGTGGTTTTTTCATTTCTATGAATATAGATTCCCCACCGCCAAATTGAAGGATGATCGGGGTCTGCTAATAATCCCAAACATGTCGTCATTATACTTTTCGGACGATCTGTGGCCAATGGCGGCATAGCATGTTTTACTTGTTGTTTATAATCTGGAAGGGTGAAGGTTGTTTCTAATGCTGGAAGGGACATGCTGTCTTATTCTATCCCTCAATCTTTGGATGGTGCGTCCTATTTAGCGTAAATTACAATTGCACGTAAACTCGTAAATAACAGAAGTCTTTTTGGTGGAAGGAGCACAAACATTTTGAATGGATGGAAGGGTCTTTTTTTGTACTGTGAATAATACGTGGATTAAAAAGAAAGAATTATTTTAGATAAACTAAGCAATTTTATGGGCCAATTGTTAGTTTAGAAGAAAAACTGAAAAAATCTACTTGATGACATTATCTGGAGTTTTTAGTTGGGAAATGATATACATTGAAGCGTTTCAGACAAAAAGCTTTTGTAAGAAGCTTCAAAATTTTTGATGTCTTCAAAGCCATTTCTATTACTTTGAAATCGCATTTTTCTTGACAAAAGTAATGATTACTCTTTTTTTATTATTTTTAGCCTAAAACAGCTGATGAGAAGTCACGAAAAGCTGCATGCTATGTTGCTGAAGAATGCAGCTGTAAATTTACGCAGGACTGGTGTACAATACGGGACTAAAATTGTTAACAATTTGTATACCTGAACAATATTTAAGTGAATTATGTATTATGCATTGCGCTTAGATTATTGTATCATGCCAAAAGTATCATACGTTTCATTATTTTATTGAAATGCTTTTAAGATATACTTTTTACTAAACTAAAGAAATCTTAAAGTTATGAAAGTTTAAAAGCTACATAAGTCAAATATATCTTTCATAAAAAATCACATCATTTGAGGATAGTTGGCAAAGATTAGAATCTGCAATTTTTTTATTCACAAAAGAGTAGATTTACCAATATTAAACGAATAAATAAAGGCGACGGCATTGTGAGCAGTATGAATCATTTCATGAATGGCAAGTGAAGTTTTAGGTGTTGGAAAGCAACGATTATCTTATTTGCCTTGCGTTTTATGAAAAGTGTTGCTTGTACAGATCTTTTTATGACGATTCTTTCAATGCATTTGAGGCTCTTAAGTGTTCTAGTTTATCTCTGGAAACATTTGTCTTTTCATTCATAGAGGATATGAGATGTTGTTTTGAGCATTTTCAAGTATTGCTTGGTAAATGGAGCTCAATCTTCATTTTATTTGGCTTAGTTTGATTTGACGATTAGACCTACATACCTACAAATTCTCTCCCTTTCTAACTTCATTTTTTTGCTCGCCAAAACTCAGTTCTATTACTTCTGAAACATTCTCGATAAATCTTTTTTGATTTCTTGCAGCTGTTGTGTGGCTGCATCTAACTTAGTCAACAATATTTCAAAATTTAAAGACCATCATCTTCATTTTTTAATTTTTTAATAAAAAACGTTTTTGTGTAAAAGACATTTCTAAAAGACACTTCTATTGCGTCAGCAAAAGTTTCCAATTACTGACATTATGATGTTGATCAAAGTTAACACCATAGTTGCCGTCGGTCCCAAACAACACTATGGAGCGATCTATCTAAGCAACCAACCCTCTGTCAACCAACAAAGAAGCTTAAATATGCGCAGTTACACCAGGCAGGTAAACATAAGGAAACGAAGCTGCTGGTGTCAGTAAGGGCGCCGTTTTGTAGAATAACTGCTAACGAATAGAAAGTTGCTTTTCCGCCACATCAGATTCGACTGAGAGAGAGAGAAAATATTGCCATTTGCAAAGTTTAGAAATAACTTGCACGATGGAAATTATGGAGATATGTGTTATGACGTTTCTCAGAACTATTTATATTTTCAAAAATTGGCTTAGGCGCATTTATTAATGTGATCATCTAAAGAATTGAAAAGAGGCAGTGTTAAAGAAGATAGAAGACAAAATCAAAGCAAACCATTTGGAAATGGTATTTGTTTGCAAAGTTAAGCGGAGGCAATATGGCCACGATGCTGAAGTGTATAATTTTTATGTAATTCAAATGCAATTTTTTATATGAAGATCTAGCTATTGATAGGAGTTTCCAATTTTTGATTTATTCCATTAAGTCAATGCGTCATTGAAGTTTACTTTAAAATATTCACAAACTAAAAGATAGCGACAATTTTGATATCAATTCAGCTACAAGCGAAACTAGGCGGTGCATGCACATTTTGATGTTTTTCCTGAAGTAGTTCTCAGAGTTTGTAAAATCCTCTAATTTCCTCTTCCAGAACTACCTACTTTCAACTTATTCAAATGCCCAAAATTTAGTTGTAATCCCATATGGTTGTGGCCCATTTCACGTTTTTGATCGAATGCATGTTTTTAGGACCTTGTATTTCCTTTATTTTGTGGTGACATAATCAGTTTTTGTGTCGATTAGGTCAATATAATGTTAAAATTTCTATTGGTACCAATTAGTCTCCACAGCTAATGAGTGAAATGACCTTTTCAAAATTGTCAGTTTTGGCGGGGTTTATCTAATCTGCCATTTAGAATTATCTATGTATATATATGTTGCATGTAGTAATGTTAAAATTGTCTTTCAATATTAGTATCACACTCATATACTTACAACATGTTATCTACGGAGACAAAAGACTGAGTTCTAGTGTTAAATAAATCTAAAATTTTGGCAAAAACTCTCCTACCAGTTTTTGGAAATTGCACACATAATGTTAAAAGCAAGTTTAGGGGTCATTCACAAATACTTTCTGTCAAGTTATAATAATTTTGCAGTTAAAAGAGGGGGAGGGGGTTATGAGTTGGAACTAATAAGAATTCTGCATTTTGCACAAGAATGGCTTTTGCCCACAATGACCAAAGCAGGTTTTCACCAAACAAATATTCTTCTTTGTAGGCCTGAGGTACAAAGGAATATATATCTTAAGGGTACAAAATGAATTTAGACACGTGAAAAACAAAGGCACTCTAAAAAGGAGAGAATTTAATTTGCTACGTTTTATAAAACCCATTTCAGAAGCATTCATAACAGCAGATAAAGCGTGTCAAGCAAACAAGACTTACATTCTACTTTACTTGCTAATTACTCTACGATACTACAGGTACGATACCATGGAGAGCAATGGACAATGCCAACCCCATGGCCATTACATGCAACTAGACAAACAAATACGAACGCTACATGTACACATAATCAATGTTACAAAAGAAAATGAGTATATATATATTAACTGCCTTGTTATGACAGCATAGCTCGGGTTGTGTCTCAGACAACCTGTAATCTTCTATATATATATATATGTATATAGAAGATTACAGGTACAAGACAATACGTTTTCAAAAACTGAAAATAGCAAATAAGTGGGTGAGGCACAAGATTAAGGGATATTTGATGAAACTGATTTTATAAGCATTCAAAGCGTTCCGTTCTTGAAATATACAGGATAGTAGATTACAGAATGAGTTTATTCACTTCAAATGGCAATTTTTGTCGCCGTACAAAAGAATCTGTAAAAGGATAGAATTAGGAACGTTGGTAAATTCAAATAAGTGCAGTACTGGAATGACAGAAGCAAGGAGGTCACGTCTTTGTTCTTCAAAAGACTGACACGACAATATGAAGTGCTCCGTATCCTCAAGACCATCGTTGATTGGACACATCGGGTTGATTGTGTCACTAAAATTATGACTGAGTTTGTGGAAATTTAGTTTGCTCAACCCTACCCTAAGTTGAGTTAATAAAGAAAGCCCTCGAAGGTCATAGATACCGAAAACAGAGTTAGAAAGTGGTCTACTGATCGACAGCAATCTATTCTTGAATATATCAATAGAAGGCGATTCTCTGATTTCAGGGTCAAGCTGATTCCATTCATGTAAGCTGTTTGGGAAAAAGCTTGACTTATATTTTTCAGTTCTTGCTCTAATTTGTCCAACAACGGGTTGATTGCGAAAAGCATAATATGATTTAATTAGCTGGGGAATAGGATCTCTTAGATAATCTGGCATCAGATTGTTAATGATCTTGTAGATCATGAAAAGTCGTCTACTCCATCTTCTCAAGTACAGGGATTCCCATTCTAACTCTTGATACAGCTTTTCACGAGAGGTACCTTTCCATGTTCCTGTTACTGCTAATGCTGCAGAATATTGAACCGATTCGAGTTTTTGCATCAGGATATTTCCGCGGCTATTTGAACTGATTTCCTTGCATGGGAGGTGGTAAATCACATCATCATAATCTTAATGAGGTCTGACATAGAGTTTATAAAGCATATTCAAGGTTTCTCGAGGAAGATATTTTGAAAGAAACTTCGACATTCCTATTGCCTTTCTTGATTTTGCAATAGCTGCATTTATGTGACTTATAGAAGAAAGCCTTGAGTCGAGTGTAAGCCCAAGATGCTTATGCTCGTCTACTTTCATTACTTGGATATTATTAAAAAATATCGGGGGATGATCAATTTTGTCTCTCTTTGTTGAGAAAATTATCTCCACTGCTTGCTTTCTAGGATCAGGGTTGAATGACATCCTCCATCTATGTGCTCATAATCTTATACGGTCAAGGTCATGGTTCATGTCATCAGCTGCCAGTTTAGGATCGTTTATAATGGTATAGAGAGAAGTATCATCAGCAAATAATTTAACAGTACATTTAAAGGGCCATTCTAGCCCAAAATTTTATTTCAGAATAAGATGAAATCAGACCTCCTGAAAACGAATCTGCTATTTTCTCATATCTCTAGCCGTTTTGTAGTTATTAGCGTTTGTAAATTGGTCATTGAGTTGAATTGTTTTTCAACCGTGTTATCGGAGTTCTTCGGATTGACGTCACAAACATTGTCGGCCTCGGTATTTTCGCGGCAAGTATCATCGGCTGTTCAAAAGTCAACAAGAACCTAGCGAAATGGCAAACAGGGCCTAGCAGCGGCATGCTTTTTAGAAGGCCAGGCTTTTATCTATATAAAGAGACAAGTATCGTCGGTCAGTCTTGATATTCAGATCGAATATTGAAGTATTATATCGCACGAATCTGGCTGACAGAGCAGTCAAATTGTCAAAGTAGGCCAGCGAGACAGAGACATGAGGATGTTGACGGACTGGATGCCTATGCTGAAACACGCCCCTTTAATGCGGGTACAGTACTTCAATAGCATACTGGCTCCCAGGTTTCGTTCGGCACAAGACTGTGGGACAGCGCCCGGTACGGCAGGGCTGCGGTTGGTATTACACCATTTTTTCTTAGTTTTCTGACAAGCTGAGCTTGTTATTTGTATGGTTTCAAACAAACGTTGCTTTTGATGCAGTCTGTTTTGGCAGGCCAGTTTTCTGATTTTTAAAAGAAGATTCAAGCTTTTTCATCAGCTCTACATTCAGTGCAATAGCCAAAAAAGCCATCACGCAATTTATACGGGAGCAAGGACCGAGATATAGAAGAGGGGGCGGGGGGCCCTGGCCCCCCAATATTTTAGTACCATAAATAATCAGTACCATAATTTAGTACCATAAAAAATTGGCGGAATTTTCATTTGCACATCTCAAAGCAATAAATTCCCATGAATACTGCAAAAGTTCCACTTATCGAGGTCCCCCTTACCGGTTGCAACGTCGTTTGGATACCTATATTTTTGTAAGAAACCACTTATAAACTCCAATACTAAGAACGAATCATTTTAGAGACTTTTTGTCGTAGATCTTTTAGTCTAAGAAATCTAATGGTATATCTTTATTTAAGATCTGATATTTCTTAGAAACTCTCAGTACAGATACAATTATTTAGCTTTTTTATTAGAAATAGCTGTTTTGCCACATATTTTTAAAAAAAAAATTGTTGTTTGTTA